GATCATCTCAATAGATGCAGAAAAAGCTTTCGACAAAATTCAACACCCATTTAGGATAAAAAAAAATCCTACAGAAAGTAGGCAAAGAGTGAACTTACCTCAACATAATAAAGGTCATATATGACAAACCCACAGCCAACATCATTCTCAATGGTGAAAAACTGAAAACTTTTCCTCTAAGATCAGGAACAAGGCAAGGTTGTCCACTCTCACCATTATTGTTCAACATATTTCGGGAAGTTTTAGGCACAGCAATCAGAGAAGAAAAACAAATCCAAATCAGAAAAGAAGAAGTAACACTGTCACTGTTTGCAGATGATGTGATACTATACATAGAGAATCCTAAAGATGCTACCAGAAAACTACTAGAGCTAATCAATGAATTTGGTAAAGTAGCAGGATACAAAATTAATGCACAGAAATCTCTTGCATTCCTGTACACTAACAAAGAAAAATCTGATAGTGAAATTAAGGAAACACTCCCATTTACCATTGCAACAAAAAGAATAAAATACCTAGGAAAAAACGTACCTAAGGAGAGAAAACATCTATGTGCAGAAAACTATAAGACAGTGATGAAAGAAATTAAAGACAATACAAACAGATAGAGAGATATACCATGTTCTTGGATTGAAAGAATCAATATTCTGAAAAAGACTATACAACCCAAAGCAATGTACAGATTCAATGCAATGCCTATCAAACTACCAGTGACATTTTTCACAGAACTAGAACAAAAAATTTCACTATTTGTATGGAAACACAAAAGACCCTGAATAGCCAAAGCAAACTTGAATAAGAAAAACAAATCTGGATGAATCAGGTTCCCTGACTTTAGACTATACTACAAAGCTACAGTAATCAAGACAGTATGGTACTGGCACAAAAACAGAAATAAAGATAAATGGAACAGAATAGAAAGCCCAGAGCTAAACCAACGCCCATATGGTCACCTTATCTTTGATAAAGGAGGCAAGAATATACAATGGGGAAAAGACAGCCTCTTCAATAAGTGGTGCTGGGAGAGCTGGACAGCTACATGTAAAAGAGTGAAATTAGAACATTTCCTAACACCATACACAAAATTAAACTCAAAATGGATTAAAGACATAAATGTAAGGCAAGATACTGTAAAATTCTTAGAGGAAACCACAGGCAGTACACTTTCTGACATCAATTGCAGCAAGATCGTTTTTGACCCACCTCCTAGAGAAACGGAAATAAAAACAATAATAAACAAATGGGACCTAATGAAACTTAAAAGCTTTTGCACAGCAAAGGAAACCGTAAACAGGACAAAAAGACAACCTTCAGAACGGGAGAAATCTTTGCAAATGAAGCAACTGACGAAGGATTAATCTCCAAAATATACAAGCAGCTCATTCAGCTCAATATCAAAAAACAACAACAACAAAAAAAAACGAACAACACAATCCAAAATGGACAGAAGACTTAATAGACATTTCTCCAAAGAAGATACACAGATTGGCAACAAACACATGAAAGGATGCTCAACATCACTAGTCATTACAGAAATGCAAATCAAAACTATAATGAGATATCACCTCACACTGGTCATAATGGCCACCATCAAAAACTCTACAAACAATAAATGCTGGAGAGGGTGTGGAGAAATGGGAACCCTCTTGCACTGTTGGTGGGAATGTTAATTGATACAGACACTATGGAGAACAGTATGGAGGTTGCTTAGAAAGCTAAAAATAGAGCTACATATGACCCAGCATTCCCACTACTGGGCATATATCCTGAGAAAACCATAATTCAAAAAGAGTCATGTACCACAATGTTCATTGCAACACTAGTTACAATAGCCAGGACACAGAAGCAACCTAAGTGTCTATCAACAGATGAATGGATAAAGATGATGAGGCACATATATACAATGGAATATTACTCAGCCATAAAAAGAAATGAAATTGAGTTATTTGTATTGAGGTGGATGTACCTAGGGTCTGTCATACAGAGTGAAGTAAGTCAGAAAGAAAAAAACAAATACCATATGCTAACACAATATATGGAATAAAAAAAAATGTTCTGATGAACCTAGGGGCAGGGCAGGAATAAAGATGCAGACATAGAGAATAAACTTGAGGACATAGGGAGAGGGAAGGTTAAGCTGGAAAGAAGTGAGAGAGTAGCACTGACATATATATACTACCAGATGCAAAATATATAGCTAGTGGGAAGCAGCCATATAGAACAGGGAGATCAGCTCAGTTCTTTGTGACCACTTAGTGGGGTGGGATAGGGAGGGTGGGAGGAAGATGCAAGAGGGAGGGGCTATGGGGATATATGTATACATATAGCTGATTCACTTTGTTATGCAGCAGAAAGTAACACGACATTGTAAAGCAATTATACTCCAATAAAGATGTTTAAAAAATAAATTAAATAAAATAGAATTTATGGTTATGCAGTTAATTGAACAAAGATAACCAAGTGGTACTATCTGAGCCCCCAAGTTACAGATTTTTGATGAAACTAAATCAATGATTATTTGAATAATTTCTAAGTTCCTACCTGTTATGTATGATATGGGCATATTCTCAGAAAAGATGTTGTGGAATAGTCGATGAGGAGCTAAACATTAAATCACTAATAATTATTTTAGAATTGAAATTTAATTAATATACAAAATTTTATGTGCCTCAGTTCATCTGGGAAATAAGCAATTATTAATTTATTCCAGTATCAATATAAAGCTACATCTACATTATCCAAAAATTCTGGAGAGTTACTAATGATTCTATAACTTGATAATTAATGTTTTCTCTATATTAAGATTATTTGACTAAATCTGCTTAAAATTTATTTGATTTGTGGCACATTTACAGAATTTTAACATGAAAAACATAAACTTCTAAAAACTACTTTTTTCTCCTGATTTCAGATTAACGTTGGGGCAAGACTTAGTGATTCACATCTGTGAAATTATAATTTCTGATTTTATAATTTCTTGCTTTCACAAATAAAAAGGAAAAGACAAGTCTTTTTTCTCTCTACATCATACCAGAAAATCCCTTTTTCTTCTGATATTTGTAATGCTGGAAAAAATATTTAAGCTCTTTTTATCTCCTCCCCTTTAAAATATGAGGGCACCTGTGTTGTGGAGGATTGTGGAATCAGGGGATTGTTGAGATTTAATGAGAAATTGAATAAAAAGTTCTTGATATAATGACTAAAATATAGTAATCACTCATTAACAGTTATTATTTGCTATATATTGTAATACAGTACTAAGATGATGTTTTAGTAAAATAATATTATACTAATAGCATGAAATGTCTGCTGGAATTTCAGTGAAATTAAATAAAACATTAGGATTTGGTAAGGTTAAGCATTAAAAGTCATAAATAATACCAAATGAATTCAGGAAAACATCACCTAGCTAATCTTCCCTATAATTAAACTCTACATTAGATTTATAATTTTTCAAATGCTATGGTGGAAGCAATTGATGAGATTTTTGTAGTGTTTTAAGTTTAATTTTACATCTAAAACCTTATCAGTGGCTAATGATGAAGTAACAAAAGCTCTAGGTAATCTACTCATGGCCTTCTGTTTTATGTGAAAAGTTTGCTTGCTACAATACAGAATGTTGACAAAATTAAATTGCCAGAATATTATGTTCAAAACTGAATGCTTGGGGAAGAAAAGGCAATAAAAGAAAATATATGTATAAACTGGAAAAAATCAAACCAGTCTTCTTAGTTCTGATTGCCTACTTTTAATGCAAGATGCAGATATCAGCATCGTATTGAAATAGTTATCCAAATTGCTTATGACTCATGCATGACTACACAATTCATCAAATCAACAGTCAAGAATACATTAAATGGCCTCAAGATTCAAAAGTTTTAGTAGCTGAGTGAATGATTTTATTTTAACTGAAAGAGACCTATATAACTGAACCAAATTACTTATCTTAGACACAGAACAAGGCTGAGAATTAGGAATTCAGCCCATTGTTTATGGCTGAGATAATACAAAGATAGAATATCATTATGCAGTGTATATTAAACAACTACTGGGATGAAATTGTTACTAAGCCTTCAGAAATAAATTTACAATTATAGAATAAAGAAAAATATTTCTGAAACGTGTCAGTTCTTCTAAAATTACATTGAAAGAGCCAGACCTGCTAATGATATTCAACATAAGAGAAAGTTTGATAGAAATTAAACATGTCAGTTGGGCATTTTAATGATATTCCACACTATGATGGTGATAAAATTACATGTTTGCCCTTTGAATATAAGCAACATGTATTAAGTACCAAATAAATCAGACAACACTAAAAATTACAAAAGTACCGCAAATTAGTCATAATTCTATATCATGATATAAAATCATAATCAAAAAGTAGTCTTGATTTTACACTATCTCTTTGTATTCTAGAGAAGAAATATTAGCTCCAATGAATGAAATGTATGAACTATAAGATTCATCAGTATAAATAATACCTAATCAATAGTATAATCTTCACTAGAAATTCTGTGCCAAAAGAAAAAACCTGAATTAAAATTTGGGACAGGGAAAAGAAGAATCATCCATTCATTCTACAAATATTTATTGAATACTAACTATTATATAGCTTGGGACTAAGTGCAATTGGGAATACAAGGATGGCAAACCATTATCTGTGACTTCAAGGATGTTACCTAGACTTCTTGTGCTGATCATTTTGCAATATATATAAATATCAAATCATTATGTTGAACACCTGAAACTAATAAAATGTTAACATGCCAATTATACCTCAATAAAATATTATGTTTTAAAATATATATGTATATACAGAGACAGACAGATTGGAGAAAGTAATAAATAAGAGGAGAAAGAAAAATAATGTTAATTGAGGGGAATAAAAAGGTATTAAGTATAGGAGAGTGGGTCTGTTGATTCTAATATGTAAAACACAATTTTAATATATGTAAAAGCCTATATTTGTCAGTTTATAGGCTTGTTGATTCACCTACGGATTATTTCACTGCTTGATGTAGTAATCTCTGGAATGGAAGCTGCTGAATTGGAGAACATAATGGAAAAAAATGTTTCATGTGAAAGGAAAATTGTGTTACTGATAACATCTATGGCAATATATAAGATGGATTAAGTTGAAATTAATGTTTCAGAGAAATTTGATTAAATAGTACATAGATGTCAAAATTTAAAGTTTAAAATCTATAGACCACAAGTAAAAGTCAAAGACTCTTATCAGTTTGTATAACATTTTTTTCCAAAGTTTTCTTCTAAAATGTTAAAAATAAACAAAACAAAAACAGAAAACAAAATCTTCCCTGAGTTTATTTTTGTGTATGGTGTTAGGGAGTGTTTTAATTTCATTCTTTTACATGTAGCTCTTCAGTTTTCCCAGCACCACTTATTGAAGAGGCTGTCTTTTCTCCATTGTATATTCTTGCCTCCTTTATCAAAGATAAGGTGACCATATGTGCATGGGTTTATCTCTGGGCTTTCTATCCTGTTCCATTGATCTATATTTCTGTTTTTGTGCCAGTATCATACTGCCTTGATTACTGTAGCTTTGTAGTATAGTCTGAAGTCCAGGAGCCTGATTCATCCAGCTTTGTTTTTCTTATTCAAGATTGCTTTGACTATTCAGGGTCTTTTGTGTTTCCATACAAATTGTGAAATTTTTTGTTCCAGTTCTGTGAAACATGCTCAAAATGGATTAAAGACCTAAATGTAAGGTCAGACACTATCAAACTCTTAGAGGAAAACATAGGCAAAACACTCTATGACATAAATCACAGCAAGATTCTTTTTGACCCACATCTTAGAGAAATGGAAATAAAAACAAAAATAAACAAATGGGAACTAATGAAACTTAAAAGTTTTGCACAGCAAAGGAAACCATAAACAAGACCAAAAGACAACCCTCAGAATGGGAGAAAATATTTGCAAATGAAGCAACTGACAAAGGATTAACCTCCAAAATATACAAGCAGCTCATGAAGCTCAATATCAAAGAACAAACAACCCAATTCAAAAATGGGCAGAAGACCTAAATAGACATTTCTCCAAAGAAGATATACAGACTGCCAACAAACACATGAAAGGATGCTCAAAATCACTAATCATTAGAGAAATGCAAATCAAAACTACAATGAGGTATCACCTCACACCGGTCAGAATGGCCATCATCAAAAATCTACAAACAATAAATGCTGGAGAGGGTGTGAAGAAAAGGGAACCCTCTTGCACTGTTGGTGGGAATGTAAATTGATACAGCCACTATGGAGAACAGTACGGAGGTTCCTCAAAACACTAAAAATAGAACTACCTTATGACCCAGCAATCCCACTACTGGGCATATATCCTGAGAAAACCATAATTCAAAAAGGGTCATGTACCAAAATGTTCATTGCAGCTCTATTTACAATAGCCAAGACATGGAAGCAACTGAAGTGTCCATCAACAGATGAATGAATAAAGAAGATGTGGCACATATATACAATGGAATATTACTCAGCCATAAAAAGAAATGAAACTGAGTTATTTGTAGTGAGGTGGATGGACCTTGTGTCTGTCATACAGAGTGAAGTAACTCAGAAAGGAAAAACAAATACCGTATGCTAACACATATATATGGAATAAAAAAAAAAAAAAAAAAAGAGGTAATGAAGAACCTAGGGGCAAGACGGGAATAAAGACGCAGACCTACTAGAGAATGGAATTGAGGATACGGGGAGGGGGAAGGGTAAGCTGGGACACAGTGAGAGAGTGGCATGGACATATATACACTACCAAATGTAAAACTTATAGCTAGTGGGAAGCAGCCACATAGCACAGGGAGATCAGCTCTGTGCTTTGTGACCACCTAGAGGGGTGGGATAGGGAGGGTGGGAGGGAGGGAGACACAAGAGGGAATAGATATGGGGATATATGTATATGTATAACTGATTCACTTTGTTATGAAGCAGAAACTAACACACCATTGTAAGGCAATAATACTCCAATAAAGACGTTAAAAGAAAAACAAAAATCTTCCCTGAAAAGTGTAACTGCAAAGGTATAATACTGAAAAAGGAAGTTTTGGAATTTTTTTTTAATGATTAAGTTGATTAAGTTGATTAAGTTGTGGTTGATGATTATGGCTTGCCTGTGCCTGAGCTACTGGTCACCAGTGTAATTGCTGTACAAAGGAGGAGACAAATATTTGGAAATGTATGTTAAAATGGTGTTGAAAGGCAAGATTACAAAGTATTTATTTAGACATGGGTTAGATATCTCTATAATTCAAATAAATAATGAAATGTCAGTTAAATTCATTTACCAGAAGTACTCCTGTATTTCTCTGATCACTGCTTTAATTACAAATGATTCAATTAAAGTTAAAATTCCTTGGTGTCAGTTGAAAAGAAAATATAAATTATTTTCAAAGAATTTAGCATAGAATTTTCTTCTGTAGCCACTTTCTTCCAAATTAGTAATATGTAGAACGTTATTTTTAGGACACACGATCTCTGAATAGGGAAGAGGTTCTTCACCAATATCAGAGTTGGGATGTAGACCCTGCTATTTGGCATTTAGAAAATAAATAAATAGAGAATGACAAATTTGAGAAAAGGGCCAAATGCCTGAGTTGCAAATTCACTTTGATGCTTATTTAGAAGCTAAAAAGCAAATAAGCATTTTTTTTACCTGCTTCAGCGCTTAGTATGGAGGTAGCTGTTGTAGTAGAAACTGTTTAGGGAAGAAAATATTTATGAAAATAAATTACTTAAATAATTTTGCTGGAAAATTTAGTTCAAGAAACCAGTTGCCATAAACTTAATAAAAGTTTCTGAAGTTGTATGCAGAGGTTAATTAACAAAACAACCTTTCATTAAATCAATATGAATACCACTGTATACTTACTCTATGCCCGACAAAAATAACTATTTTCTGTTATTACCACTTAACCAAAATCTCACAGGAACTTTATAAGACAGGGCCAAGACAAACCCTGACATGTGATACCTTAGCTTTAGGAAAGTAACCAATGATAACTAAAATAAATAACACTTCACTGATGACCACATACTAAATACATTACCAAAACCTAAGGTTTCCAATTTACTATACTATCTCTTAATTGACACCACCTCCAAATAATGATCAACAGGAAATAAATTCTATCCCTGAATCATACAAGACAGGAATGTGTAAGTGTACTGTAGCAACTCTAAGTACACTTATATCACCAATGTATTACAAGTTCCAAACCCAAAGTTAAACTGCATTTTGCCCAATACTCTCTTGAATGGACATAACTGAAATACTTGCAACAAATTATAGCTTGCAACAAATACATGAGTTAAGAAAAATAAATTAACTTTTATTTCTATGTTTTCAAGTCACCTCCCAGTATAATCATGATTTCAAAATATTTACTTCACAGGAGATCACATTTACTTCTTATTCATTCCACTTGTTCCAATTATCATCTAAAAATATCAAGCTTTGGATGATTATATTTAACTAATAAGCATACAATACCTATTGTACGTTCTAATCATATTTCTAACTTGAATCACAGGAGTATAATGAAATAAAATTTTACATATTTTCTAGTTACTGTTAATTTTATTTGTTTGTTTGTTTTCTTTGAGGTACGCGGGCCTCTCACTGTTGTGGCCTCTCCCGTTGCGGAGCACAGGCTCCGAACGCGCAGGCTCAGCAGCCACGGCTCACGGGCCCAGCCGCTCTGCGGCATGTGGGATCTTCCCGGACTGGGGCACGAACCCGTGTCCCCTGCATCGGCAGGCGGACTCTCGACCACTACACCACCAGGGAAGCCCAGTAACTGTTAATTTTAATTTGAAATTTTATATCAGCATATTTACCAGCATATCTTTTGCTGGCACAGATTCATGTGAAACTATAAATGATTATCCATAAAAAGACATCAGAAATACACATTTAAACCATAATGATGATTTTACCTGTAAATGTTGAATTTGTAGGAGCAGTTTCTGAAATAATCATAAATTACTATTATTGACAGGAATGAAAAATTGTGAAAAAAAAATCTGAAACTCAAGTTGCCTATGAGTTATCTGGCCTTTTTTATTTCACTTCTTGCAATTTCGAATGCAAAACAGGAGTCGTTTATATATTCTTTGGAAGCTTATTGAAATTTCTTTTTAAGATATATGTTGCACATGAGTAATCCTTCAAGTATTGAATTCTATCTATATAATCCTCACCTTCCACTCCATCCCTTTATTAAATTATTTTAGTTGATGTCTCACTCCCTTAATTCCCAGAACCTACAGACAGGCAGGAGTGTGGCCGGAGAATTGCCCCATCTACCAGTGGTTTGAAGTGCCTTGACAGCATTGGTTTTGAACTGACACAATATGAACAGATACCCTGAAATGGAATAGTCTCAATCCACTGAGGAGCAGTCTAAAGCATTAAGTACTTACTCCTCTGCTGTTGATGATATGAAAAGATTCCAAACCCTTTACCTCATCTTTCCTAAATTGATTAGAGTAAAACATAGTGACTCACCACTGCACTCCAACTCTCCTGCGATGCAATAGCTGAAAGTTAAATTATAAACAAAAAATAAACAATCAAAATAAAAAACAAGAATTAGGTTGAAATTTTTAGCTCCTAATTACATACATCTCCCAAATTTAAAATAACAAATTGTCTAACCGTGAAAATCAAAACAGAACCAAATAAGAGAACAGTAAATAACTGTTTCCGCAAGAGCATGCTGTGGATTCAAACTGTTTTTTTGTTTTTTTGTATTTTTCATGTACTGTTTCCTAATCTTTTCACTGAGGAGTTCTTGGGACCTAAAGGAATGTTTGGAGTCAAGCTGTAAAGTTAGTTCTTAGATTTTAAGTTTCAAACATGACTTTTTTTTGATGGCCATGCCGCTCTAGTACAGACCTCCCTTCTTTACTTCCATGTCATTGTCTGAAAGCCTATAAACATGATCTTACATTTATGGAATGAAAACTTTCTTTTTACCCAAAAGTACATAGTGACATTTTCTGTTCTGTCTTATGCACTAAGTATAAGATTTAACAAACCATTTGTTGATATGTGTGGATTTACTGAAAACACAAAATAACCAACATAAGTGATATAAAACTGAACCTAAAGCTGACCTTCCCATTTAGAAATAACAGTTAAAAAATATATTCACTGATTTTTTTCTTAATTGTTTTCTAAATAAAAATGGAAGAAACAGAAATACTGGACAGTTAGATAATTTACCATATTCTCCCACAGTTATCTTGGATCACTCCACCAGCAGGTATGATGTCATTATAGAAGCAGCTGCACTCAGACAAACTGACGCATTTCATGGTGTTCTCATCCAGGAAGGGAGCACTGTCTGGGCACTTAGCATAACAGCCTGTGTGTAAAAATGACCTGCAGTTCATCTCTATTTGCTGAAACTACATTGTACCTTTGTAAACTCACTTCAATGGTTCCATGAACTGAAGTAGATAATAGCAAAACAACAGCATACTCTTAGTGAAAAATATATAAAATTGAAACAGCCACTATGGAGAACAGTATGGAAGTTCCTTAAAAAACTAAGAATAGAACTACCATACGACCCAGCAATCCCACTACTGGGCATATGCCCTGAGAAAACCATAATTCAAAAAGAGTCATGTACCACAAAGTTCATTGCAGCTCTATTTACAATAGCCAGGACATGGAAGCAACCTAAGTATCCATTGACTGATGAATGGATAGAGAAGAGTGACACATATATACAATGGAATATTACTCAGCCATATAAAGAAATGAAATTGAGTTATTTTTAGTGAGGTGGATGGACATAGAGTCTGTCATACAGTGAAGTAAGTCAGAAAGAGAAAAACAAATACCATAAGCTAACACATATATATGGAATCTAAAAAAAAAAAATGGTTCTGAAGAACCTAGGGGCAGGACAGGAACAAAGACGCAGATGGAGAGAATGCACTTGAGGACACGTGGAGGGTGAAAGGTAAGCTGGGACAAAGTGAGAGAGTGGCATGGACATATATACAGTACCAGTTGTAACATAGATAGCTAGTGGGAAGCAGCTGCATAGCACAGGGAGATAAGCGAGGTGCTATGTGACCACCTATAGGGGTGGGATAGGGAGGATGGGAGGGAGACACAAGAGGGAGGAGATATGGGGGTATATGTATATGTAGAGCTGATTCACTTTTTTATACAGCAGAAACTAACACACCATTGTAAAGCAATTATATTCCAATAAAGATGTTAAATAAATAAAGATGTTTTGTTAAGAAAAAAAAATTGAACAGGATTCAGGCCCTCTTGCAATGAATATAAACCTGAGAACTTAGAAATTTTGGCTGATTTAATTTTTTTCTAATATGTTTCCTAAAATATTTTAAATGATTTACTACTTTAATGACAGCCACGCTGTTGAACATAATGCAAGACTTGGATAAATATGGGTCTTGAAATGTGAATGCCAATTCTAAATATCTACTTTCACAAGGGTAGACGAAGATAACAGAAATCATAATAAAATGGGCTGAAAATATCCCAAAGCCTGGGATTTAACACAGATGTGACTTTTGGAAAGTTTCTGTATCATCTTGTTTTCTTGTCACTTCATTCTTTTTCTCTAAGATATGTAATGCTAGGAATAAGGTAATTTTTAACTGTGAGATATAGTTAATTGGCCTCCATTCAAGTGAGATTATATTATATGTTGCATTCTGAAACTACATTCTCAACAAACTACCTTGTTTAATGAAATGTATAAAGATTGCCAATGCGATCAGATCGCTATGTTCTCCCTATCTCTCTCCCTCTCTCTCTCTCTCTCCTGTTGAATAGATAATTTATGTCTAGACAAAATATTTCTAATGTAGAAATATTAATATCATAATAAAGATAAACAACTATTCATTAAATTACAAAATGTAAGATACTGAATTGTCAGTATCCTAAAATATTTTCGTTTTAAGGTATCAGTATAATTTGCGCTTCTTCATGGAAATTATTAAAATATGTCTTACCTTCTAAAACTGCAGAAAACTTCTGGCCAATTACTCTATCTTTGCATGTTTTTGCAGTCAATGTACCACAAGGTTCATAATGCCAGCTGCATTCCCCAGGTGCATTATAATAATCACAGTAGACAGCTATGATTGAATTATATCAAATTACTTGCATTCATTACATGACAATTTTCACCTTTCATTTTCCAAAGCATTTTTATAAGAGTTTTTGAATGAAACTAACAATAAACAGAACTAAAGTATATCATTCTGTCTTATCAAGTCCCTTTGGCTTTATCTAAATTGCCATATGAGCAAAAACAGCTTACAAAAAAAGGAGGGAAATCATATAGAATCAAAATAGCACTTTTCTTTGACATCTCACAATAAGATTGGTTTGAGGTGGAAGGGTAAATATTAATTTTCCCATTTTTTAGCTATTTTAGGTCATAGTCTATATTCACGGTTTTAATGTCTAAGCTTAAATGAGAAAAATAAATCTCCAGGGAAATTAAGCTTCTTTAATATGTAAATAACAGTTCCCAAATGAGGCAACTAAAGGTTTCAATATAATATATAAAGCTGTACATAATAAACTAAATAAAATGAGGATTCAATTTCAACATTTCTCATTTGGCACATTTTCTCTTATCATACCTTCCTTTGGAAGGAAATGTGTTGACTAATTTCTACTAAAGTTACCACATTCCACACATAACAAAATTCAGTTTATATTCATTTAACAGATTATCTTGACTTGAACTCTGTAGAACTTTTCAAGATGATGTGTGAGGACTTCACCCAAAAGTGATATATGAGGTAAATATTTAAGAATATATAACTATACCAAGATAGGTAAACAGTCCATTGTTCATTTAAGTATGAATAAGAAATATTTTCCATCAATATTCAATTTTCCCCTGTGAACAGAAGAACTTTTGAAACTAAAAAAGTTGAATTTGATGTACTGTGCCAGGTGCTACACTTTTTTAAATAGGTATTTTTTTCCAATCATAAACAAACATTAACATGTGTTTAAACCTGTCTATGCCCAAGAATATGTATTTTATAGAAAATATGAGGAGAAGAATGGTTGTCTAACAAAACAATTCTGTCTGATTACGTTTTAAAGAACAACAACATATGGACTTACGACAGAGATCTGGTTTCCTCCATGTAACACAGACTCCAACTGCACTGCATGCTTCTGCGTACATCGCCACAGCTGTGCAGAATCCCAGGTACTTCCCCTCCATGTCACATGCACAAGCTTCTTCAACACATGCATCATAGTACGTACTGGGGTCCACCTAGGAAGACCATGTTAAAGCAAAAATAGAAATGAGATTTTCTTTTCTGATAAACAAGGAAAATAAGAAAACAATGAACAGACTGGGGAAACAATATAACCACACCTGAAAGAGTTAAGCAATTTTGGTTATTCTTTAGCTGTTACTACTAACAAACACTTGTAGCCTTGTCCTTCACAAGGCTAGTTACTCTCTGACTCCATATGAACTACCCTTTGCACCTGGCATTTCTTCTCCCCTGCACTCCCTTGTAGCACTATTCATTTCAGAAAGAAGGTCACAGGCAATAACTTCAGGGACACCAGACCGGGTTGCTGAGCCACCTGACACCAGCTTTGGCCATGAATTTGCAGAAAAAAAGACATGCAAGACCTTAATTACTTTGAGCCTTATCACCTACCCCAGACCATGAGCCCCAGGCTATATAATCTTTCCCTGTTCCCCAGGGAAGGGGAGCACAGTTCTTGAGGCACTAGCCTGCTGTGTTTTCCCCTTTGCCAGGCAAAGATTAAAGCCATTTTTCTCATTGCTCCAAAACTCTGTCTCTGTATTTCTTTTCACCATCGGTGCACAGAAAGCCAAGATGTTTGGCATCAAGCACAGCACCTGAGTACCTGAGAGCAAAACCCGTGCCTGTCATTGCTCTCAGAGCCCCACTACCTTATTGTGGCAGTCTCTGAAGGTGCTGTCCCGGATGATCTCACATTTCCGCACAGCCCAAGCTTTACAGTATGGGTTTGAGTCACATGGGAAGGTTTGAGCTACTGTGTCTGAACATTCTTGACTTGTTTTCCAACTATTTCCAAATTCCAGTGCTCCAGCAGCTACTGATGAGTACCTCGTTGTGAAATCATCCTTAAGATCGCCATTGTTATTTCCACAAAGACCACACACTTTGCCCTAGATAGATCAGAAAGGGAACTTTAAAAGTGAGTTATGCTAGAGATATATAGAGAGATAGATAGGTATGGATAGACATATGATAGAGATATTAAGATTGTGTATATTATAAATCTATTTTAAATTCCAAATTTTGAATGGAAACCAGAATCTGTCGATAAGATTCTGCTCTCATTTAATCCAAATATCCTATATTTCAGTATTGACCAAGATAAATGCCTTAAGAATTTAAAAATAATTATATTCAGTAGCTTCAAATCATACAGGAGTATACTCTTAGGTTCTTAGAATATTTGTTCCAAGGATTACATTAATTCTATCTATACACCAAGCAACCACATATGGCTAAACTAGAATGCTTCAGGTTTATTGCATTTATTTTTCACCAACTTCTATCATCTTTGATTACATTTAATACTTCACATAAGGTTGAATAGATGTGGAACCTTGTTCTATAACAAAGACTACCATTCTCCCACTTTCCACATTTGAATATGTCTCTAATCTTCAGCAGCAAAAATGATTTTGCTTCTATTGTTATTTGCTTCTGTTATATTATTATATATATGAACGTGATATACATACATTCCAGCGTGGATCCAATAACACAGAAATTCTTGTATTTTTGTCCCAAATTATGGTTATTCCACTTAAAATTTTCAAAATCAAGTACAGGCCAACAGTATGAACAGAGTATGAATTTCCACTGAGTTCACATTCCTTACTTTCTGTAGTTTTGACTGCTGTGACTTTACCATCTTGCAAGACAATATTCTGATCCTATAAATGAAAAGATAGACTTACAAAAACATTAGTTTTATTTGGCGGTGCATAATCTGAGAGAAAAAGAAAGTAAAGAGAAACAGTACTATACCTGAAAAGCAACTATAATTTTTCTTGAGCATGTAAGCCCATCTTCACAACACGGGATGCTTTCAGTTAAAATACGGAATGTGCCATTTTCACGACCACAATAATCCTTTAAAAATTAAATGTTAATAATAGTTTATGTATATCAGGGACATGGAACTCAATTACAATGTTTGTATCAGACAAACATTTCTTAGACAGTGACCCCCTATAATCAATAAATTACCATATGTTTTGTTATGGAATTTCCAAAAGACAGTGGTGTAACTGTGTTATGGGTCTGTAGCCTTTGCTGAGTCCAAACTAGTTAACTTGTTTTGACTGAGTCCTTTTCCCATTACCTCTATACAAGTTTAGAATTATACCATAGATGTATATATATTTAAATTGTGTAAGTCTTAGATTTATTTCTAGGCTCTGCAAATAGCTAGATAAGATGTGGGGGCTTTTTCCTCAGTGATTTATATGAAATTTGATATTCAATCAAAACTAATGCAAAACAATCCAAACTTCACCCATTACATGTTACTTAGGAAGCAGTTTAGGTGTATGGAACAAGCATGAACTCCAGAATCAGACAGATCTAGGTTGAATATAGCATTTTCTGCTTAGTAATTCATGTTGCTTAACCTCTCTAACCCTCAATTTCTTCATCTCCATCATAGGAATAATAATATAAGCCTTTTATATTTTAAATGATTGAATGTAATAAAATATATAAATTCGCTTTGCAAAAAGCACTCAAGAAAATGTAACTGTTATTGCTGATAGTGCTGCTGTTAAAATAATGACACCTAACATTTATTGAGCATTTAGTATGTGCGCCAATATTTTCTCTACTTTGGTTTCAAGTAGGGGTTATTTCCATCCCCATTTTATAGCTGAGGAAACTGAGACACAGAGAGATTAAGGAATGTGCCCAAAGGAAGTCATACATCTGAGAAATGGCAGAGCCAGGAGCAAAATCTAGGTCTACTGCCTCCAGACTCATTTTTACATAATGTTACATTTTACTGCCTTTGAGAAACATATAAGGGGCCATTTTTTTTTAATTTCACATTTTGAGAATAAAATATTCCAGAGTTCATCTACAAATAAATAATAAGTAAAGAAAAATTGTGATAAAATACACTTGCAATTACCTCGATAAATGAATACTGGCAGAGACCATCAAAGCTGTAACTTTTTCCATCAAAAGATCTAACATGACCTTCCCCATAGATATGGCAGGTGGTTTGACATTCGTTTTGTGTACAGTTCCAAGATCCTTTTATGCAAGTACTAAAAGAGAGCAATGATACAGTGTGGTAATTATATTACGTCAAGATTCATATACTCATATGGTTTTTGTAAAGAAGCACAAAACAATATTTCATATTGGTTTAAATTTTGCAGTTTCTTCATTATCTGATGTTCATCGTACATAATGCTATGTAAAATTTCTATTTTAAAGATAGCTTTTTTTCTAACTACATTTGACCATTATTTTTCAAAATATCCCAGAGTATGACTTCTTTCCCATAAAAATCAGAGCAGATTGTCCACTTTCAAATATCCAAAACAAATAAAGTAGTAATCTTTTATTATGCACCATTTGTTGCAGCCAACAGAGGTGACACTCCCTTGGTCATACTCTTGTCCACCAAAAGAACATGGGCAGTCATCAGGGAAGACACAGTTCCCTTTAGAATTTCGAACCATTCCTACGGGACAGTAGCATCCACGCTTGCAAGGCAAGTTCTCCTACAGAAATAAATATAAAATATACACCATGAGGCACTAGTCTAAATACATCACATTATCAGTTTTAATTGACAATGCAGAAATATACCAAATATACATTTAGAGTCAACATTTGACAAATCAAAATGACACACAGAAAATAATATGACCTTCTAATTACTTTTCATTGATGTTTTAATTTCCTTCTTCACTGAAACAAAAGTTTTAAAAAACTAAACTCTAATGCCATGTTACTTACTTCAAAATTAGGTATGTTCCAAGTGCTACAGGTACTGTCAACTCTTCTCTGTGTCTTAGGATTCCTACAGTCAACATATTCAGCCCCTCTAGAACAATTCTCTGTGGAACAAGGGAAGCTGTTAATCAAGGGCCCCTTGGTCTGCTTATTTTAACCAAAGTAGATATCTTAAGCATCATGATTTCAAAACTTACGTAGTGTTAAATCAATGGGAGTCTGGCAAAGAAGAATTCCATCTCGACATATGCTGGAAATAAAAGAAAATGATACTTTTTTTTTTTTAGGCTGTGCCGTGCAGCATGAGGAATCTTATTTCCCCAACCGGGGATCGAACCTGTGCCCCCTGCACTGAGAGAACAGAGTCTTAAACACTGGACCACCAAGGAAGTCCTGGAAATGATGCGTTTAAATAAAATTCCAATGACAGCTTCTTAATACACTGTTACAGCAACTTTAACCTCTCATTCATAAACCACCTGTTTTATCACAAATAATAAGACCAATGAGACACAGTCCCCCAGAAATGCATAAAATGTACCAAATTATAAGATATAATCCTGTATGTATTATAGAAATGTACAAGCAAGGTTCTTATGGACATACAGAAAACTTCATGGAAAAGGTGGCTTGATCTTGATGGATGAGTAAGATTCAACAGATATTGCTGATAAGATGTAAAATGTGACAAAGGAAAGAACAAGGTACGTTCCAATGACTTGTTTGATAGAAGGCAGGATACATTACAGGGAGAAGTACTGGAAGTAAGTTATGGCCAGATTTCAGTTAGTCTCACATGCAAGTTTGTTTCTATTCTTTTTTTTTTTTTTCGCGGTACGCGGGCCTCTCACTGTTGTGGCCTCTCCCGTTGCGGAGCACAGGCTCCGGACACGCAGGCTCAGCGGCCATGGCTCACGGGCCCAGCCACTCCGCGGCATGTGGGATCTTCCTGGACCGGGGCACGAACCCGTGTCCCCTGCATCGGCAGGTGGACTCTCAACCACTGCACCACCAGGGAAGCCCTGTTTCTATTCTTTAAGCAACTGTCACCATAACAAAAGTGTTTGAGCAGCTAAGTGACACAGTCAGAATAGTGCTATAGATTTGATATTCTATTGGTAGTACAAGAAACTTGAGACAGAGACAGAGAGAGACAGGGCAAAGAACAGCCAATTAGCTCTCACAGTAGTGCCAATAAGAGGTCTTAGAGGTCTGAAACAGGATAATGACGAAGGCAACCATAATTTGGAGGTGCTGGCCTAAGTTTTATTAAAAAGGTAATGTACGGATTCCCCAACATCTACAGGGAATGTATCATTACCAAACCCCAACCAAATGTTTTACATATTTGATGGAAAAGAGTTGATACACATCCTTTCCTTTAAAATGACCAAGAAAAATTATTCATTGCTAAGTGATATCTTTATGGAACTAAAGAAAAGAGAGAAGGTGCATCCAAAGTTTTTTTGAAACAACTGCTTCAATTTTGCAGTTATGTTTTTAAGAATTGCTATTTATGTGTATCGAATTAGAAATGTGGATAGACTACTTTGCCCAGACTGCAGAAATCACAACCTTCTTATCCATTACAAAAAGTTACAATTCTTCAGCACCTCCTACTTCCCAGGAACAAAGTTCAAACTCTTGAATGTGCCTTGGTCACTGCCTTCTTTTCCAGCGTAATCCTGTGCAGCAACAACCTGCATGTGCAATACTTTTTCAAACATTTCTTGCATCAGTTCATTCTGTTTACTCCACTAGAAGTCACTCTTCACAACCCAATTTTGTCTGGAAGATTCATCCCTTAGGAAAACTGAAATGCTGGTCTCCTCTGAGAAGTTTTTTATCTCCTGCAGTAGCAACTGGCCCTTTTTGGTACCATATGATAGTATACAAACCTCCTTGCAATATCTGAGTCCAAGACAATGCTCACTCATCTTTGTAACTCCAGGGCTCAGCACAAAACATGGCACACAGTAGATATTTATTGAATAACTCTTTGTTGAATGACAAATGCTGAGAGTCAACTAGGAAACATTGAATATATAATCATTTTGCATTGTCTGTATGTAGTAGCTTCTAGAATATTTTTTCTACTGTCATTTAAAACCAAACAAGAGTGGGATAAATCAGCGATGGCCATTACAGTGTAGTGAACACTCCAGGTAAAAGAGGTAATATCAAACTTTAATAAGAAATACAAAATTTTAAATATGATAGGTCTAAAGAAGACTTCATACTAGCAAAAGACTATTTCTCTGAAAAGCACAGTCCCTTGATTTCAAAGTCATAACAAGTATATTTGTAATTTCCATACCATTTATTGTCATCAATATGGATGAGTTTGCCTGGTTGTATGACCTCGTCATTTATGTAGCAGTCACACTGAGATTTTGGAACACAATTTCCTTCATTAGTCTGGTACATTCCATCAGGGCAAGTGCATCCATCAACTAGAACATCTTCCATGTCGCAGCTCCTATCTCTCTCTGACAATGATCGGCAGGAACTATTGCAGGTTTTAACATTGTACCTGAAAACTAGGCCACTTGGACAAGATTGATCTGTTGGTATAGGGAAAAATAATCAACATGTAAATAACCAGGAAAATTAATAATCTTACCTCAAGTTGATGTTTATAGGTATTATAGTGAATTAATCATAATTGAGATTATGAATAATAGAGGAAAAGGTACCTGTCCTTTTTTCATTCTTTTTTTCTGTCATTACTGAGACACTACTATAATGTTTACACATTCTGCTGAGAATAAAGCCCATAAACAAGATAGGCAGTACACTGCTCTCCTGTAGCTTATATTCCTGGGGAAAGGACAATTGTGCTGCATGCTAAAAAAGCAAGATAGGAAGCTCTAAGAGTGTACAGCTGGGAACCTGCACTTAGTGAAAAGGAGGGGGTAGATGGACAGCATGAAGACAGCCTGGAGAAAGGTAATTCTATGTCTGGTAATTCTATGTCTAAATTACAAGAGAGGGAAATTCTTTCAAAAAGCAGAATAGAAGAATAGAAGTAGAAGAATAGAAACTATAAGCCCAGAGACAAGTAGCCTTTAGAACTTGCACGACCCTTGTAAGCAGCTTGGTCTTTAGCCTAAAAGCAATGAATTGCCATTGACTTGTTTTAGACTGGAATGTCACATGATCAGGTTAGTTTTATTTGGTTTTACTTTAAAGTTTATACTGATTTCTCTGCAGAAATTGGATTAGAGGGAACCAAGACTGGATATTAAAGGAGGTTATTGCAATCACCCAGAAGTAAAAGTGACGGCTTTTGAACTAGGTTGGTGGCAAAAGAGATGGAAAGATATGAATATATTTGAAAGAAATTTTGGAGGTGAACTTGGCAGACCTTACTGATTAACTGGATATTGGCTATGCAGTATTAAGATTTATCTATAGAGATGTGTTTCTACAAAAGTTTTTCTTTTTTGTAAACCAAGTACTTCTCTGAAGTCGTTTTTGAATAGTGCAATAAACATTTTTTTCCATTAAATGAAGGATTTATCAGCTTTCTAATAAGAATTTTTTCACTTTTTCTTTACTGAGTACAGTTGATTTACAATATTGTATTAGTTTCAGTGTACAACACAGTGCTTCAAAATTTTTATAGATTATACTCTACTTTATATTTATCACAAAATATTTGATGCATTTCCTGTGCTATACAATATATACCTGTAGCTTATTTATTTTATACATAGTAAATTTGTACCTCTTAATCCTCTACCCCTATATTTTCCCTCCCCTTTCTCCACTGGTAACCACTAGTTTGTTCTCTATATCTGTGAGTCTATTTCTTTTTTGCTATATTCACTAGTTTGTTTTATTTTTCAGATTCCACATAAAAGTGATAACATACAGGGCTGCCCTGGTGGCGCAGTGGTTGAGAGTCCGCCTGCCGACGCAGGGGACACGGGTTCGTGCCCTGGTCCGGGAAGATCCCACATGCCACGGAGCGGCTGGGCCCGTGGGCCATGGCCGCTGAGCCTGCGCGTCCAGAGCCTGTGCTCCGCAACGGGAGAGGCCACAACAGTGAGAGGCCCGCATACCGCCAAAAAAAAAAAAAAAGTGATAACATACAGTATTTTTCCTTCTCTTTCTGACTTTAGTGTAATAAATATTTTAAAACAAAATAAGATTTTTTTTCTGGCCACGTGGCAAGAGGAATCTTTGTTCCCTGACCAAGGATCCAGCCTGTGCCTCCTGCAATGGAAGTGCAGAGTCTTAACCACTGGACTGCCAGGGAAGTCCCCAAAGTAAGATTTTGTAAACATAGTAGTTGAGCCCTTAGCTTACTAATTTATTTTTTCAAAATAAGTTATTAATATTTGACTATGAGTTAAAAATGCATGTCAGAACATTATTTATATTTCGGCATACAAAAGTTGAACAGAAACATATATTTATATATAAATGCATATATATTCTGTTCTTGTTAAAATATGAATGTATTTAATCAAGATAGAAGAAATAAACCAAGAAGTAAATATGCAAGAATTGCAAAAAACATATTTTTTGAAAAAACATAAAATCATCTTTGAAAGAACAAAGTACAGACTTGTAAATACACATGCTTAAAGTACACCTAGACACACACACTCACACACAACTGTGTAAAATTGAGAGGAAAGTAGAGTTATCTAAAGCCTCTGCTTACCACAAAGCCCAGCCCTCCATCCTATCATGTAAGTTTCCTTCTCAGCACATGCTTTCACATAGTTGCCTAAAATCGTGCACAGGCAGTCTTGACTATTTTCACAAGTACAAGTATATTTTTTGCATTCCTTTAAAATAAGAAACAAATTTATATTACATTATGAAAATATTCAGAACAGGAAAACTGTGTATAACAAATCAGTTCATAACCACTCCTCTTCCCTGAAAAACGTATGTCCTTGAAACTTTTGGAATTACTTCTTTTCAAAAATATACAAAATAGCAAATCAATTATTAAATGAGTTTTCCAAGAACTTAGAAAAGACAGAAAAAGAAACTTATTCAAGACTTTTCTCATTTGGGGTTATTTTCCAGTACCTCTTTTTGTTTTGAGTTGGTATATCTAACAATTGAATAAATTAGTATAATCCAATGTTAAATTTAAATATATATCTTAATCTACTGACAATGGCTGCTATTTGAACATTTTTAATATCTCATGCTGCTTTTAATATTATCAAAATATTTCTCAAAAAAAGCTGTTAATATCAGACCCTCACATACCTCTTGATATGGTTTAGGGTCCACAACTGAATGGCAGGAAGCAAAAGGCCCACTCAAATCAAGAAGAATTCCACAGTGCCTTTCAGCAAACCTTTCTGGAAGAAAATTAATGAACCACATATTAGATCAAAAATGTCATAATTTTTTGATTAAAAGAGAAAGTGTAAATTTTTAACTTTTGTCTTTATTAAAACAATTGTGTTTTTAAAGTGTTTTGCTATAATTTGTTATCACTATATACAAAAATAGCATGATATAATCAGAAACTATTTAAACTTAGAGGCAAATCTTTATTAGCTTTGGACTTTTATATTAAATCAGTTAACATTTTCTGAAGGGCAGTTTCTATATAAAAATATGAATAAGGGAACCAGAGTATTTATTTACGTACCTTTTAATTTAAAATACATATTTATGTCAAATTATGAAATGTTAGTACTGTCACCCAAGTAGGTCAGATCAGTGTTTCTGAAGGTCATACATTAGGACAACCAATATCAATAATTCAGATACGCTAATTTTATTTTTAACTGCTTAATTGATATTTGGTTGGTTTATAAATAACTAGTCTCAGATTAAATTAACAGAAGAGAAAATTCACAAAAATAGCATCTGAGTAGAAAATGTTTTGCTCAGTGATTTGCAGATTCTTAAGGATGATGACCATGACTAGGACAAACATTACTAAAATTTTTTTTAACTATTTGTTGATTGGCCTTTAAAAGTTACTGTCACCAGGAAGCAATAAAGGAAGATGACTGAACCTATTTAAAGGACATTGAGGCCAATTATGAGGCCAAACTTGCAACCAGGTTTCACTGTTTTTTTGTAAACATTATTAACATCTTATTAAAGTATAGTTTAATTTTCTGTATTTTATTTTATTAAGTTATATATAAAACACTGAAAATTGAGTCATTTACATATCTCTCAAAATTGTTAACATATAGTCTGCTTAACATAAATTGGCTTGGTTTCTATGAGATATATATGTTTTTTACCTATGCTCATTTTTTTCATTGCAACACCCACAAAACAAAATAACAACAATTAAAACCGTGAAATATGTATTACCATGTTGATGTTAATGCATTTACCAGCTCATCTTTTAAATCAAAACAAATAGATGAAACTTTCAAAAGGAATCGTTTTAGTAATTTTTAAATATTATTAAAAACTGATCAGACATTTGTTTCAAATATGCAGATTAATTTAGAAATAACTAATTAACATATCATCCTAATACATCTTAACTTACCTTCCGTTGCATTCCATTACTTATGAAAGAAGCAACATAAAGTGAAGTATGTATTAAAATCAGCAATACTAGGGGAACAATCAGAGAAAGACTTGGACTCAAAACACTTGGATTACACCTTATTAAGAACACCCTATCTAAACTCCATTATCGCCATCTACATTAATGGAGATAATAACCTCATCTATGTCCTTCATGAATATTTGTGGAAATAAATTGAACTAATAGGTATGAAAGTATTTGGTAAGCTAAAACATGAGCTGAATCATACAAGTGTACAGTTTTCCCATTAAGATCTATATTTGGGGTTTGGTATACATGATGGCAATGGTTAGGAGACCTGGATCTAACTATAGCTGCATCATTAAGTGTCTCAGCAGTTACGGTGAGTCTCACTATTCAAAGAAATGATGACTTCTACAACTAAATAAAATAGGAATACTAATAAACTAAGTGATAGGTAAAGTCTCCTCTAACCCTATTATTCTATAACCATGGAGAAAACTGTATAAGGAGGAAAAGAGTAAGTACAGAAAAAGACAGCTGTGTCTTTTCCTCCCTCCATTGCCCAATGAGACATGTTTTCTAAGAGTGTCATCAACCAGCCCGATTGTTTCTCCACTGTTCCCTCTAAAACTGGGACAGTACAACAAATGCTAGCTGAAACCAGGATTATCTGGTAGTCTCATATTATTACCAGAATAAGTTTATAATTCCAGTACCAAATATCTAATTACAGAGTTTGATGTTCAATTGACATTACCTTTTTCTATACTGACGCATGAAGCAGTGTTTCCTTTAGGACAAGGCATCATTTCCCAAGAATTAGCAAATGCCTGAGATGTCTTCTCTAATATATTCTGACTTGACATGAAATCATCCTCTGCTCTGTTGTTGTAGGAACCACAGAGTCCTGTATAAAGCACAGAACAAATTTTAGCATTTTCTCATCTTCTTTTTGGATTCATATTCAGTTCTTTACTCAAATCAAAACATGTATAAGCCACATGAGAGTATTGTCTTTCTTATCTGGACCCTTCTGACCCATGAGTTACATTTTTTTTCTGTGTATAAATGTCACCTTCTTAAGCAAAAGCATATTGCAAAAATTTAGATGGTTTTAAATGAGTAACTGTAGGATTTGCCATCGTTTCTTTGTTTTGTTTGATATTTGGACAGTATGTAAGAGCTGATTTCTATAACAGAAAAACTCAGTAAAAGAAATGTAATCTACGAGCAGAAAGACAAGTTATAATAGCTTGTATTTGAAACTTGATTTTCAAAGATTTATATGTATAATATTTTCATTTATTCTTCTACAAGTCAAAGCTTTAGTAACATATATTAGCAAAATGAAATAACAAAAATTATCAAATCTCACTTAATAAATCCTTAATATAAAAACCTTAAAAATTTTAAATTGTTGAAAACCATTAGGAAATAGATTTTGTAATAAATAAAGCTGTCCTCACTGTATGTTAGAATTATTTTACTGCAATATGGAAGGAAAGATTAAGTTAAAATGCCTTATGGTCTAATGTCATTAATTGAGACAACTGAAAATTACACTAGATGTTTACAAGAGCGCCTTGGAAATAAAAACATATCTAGACGACTTACCTACGGTGTCTGTGAATTGGTTGGGTGGCATGGAAACATATAATTGCATCACAGGAACAATTTGTATTTGCAGTTTTCCATGAAAGTATGTTTCTGCCTGAAGGTATGAGGAAGATGCATTGGAGATCTGTATTTTTTCTGTTAAAGTAATAATTTATATTAATAGCAACAATTGACATATTAAACAGTTTTTGATTTCTTAAAATGCTTTTATACTTTAATAGATTTTAAAAAGCAGAAGCATTTAATATCCTTAAAGATTGAATAAATTAATGCATTTTATATTTATTTTAAAATGGTATTATTAAACTTACCTGAATAATAATAACCTTGATTTCTAATCTTGTCATTTGTGACTGTTCCATCTCTATTGAATATGTATTTTTCAACTGGAACAGACTAGTATTTAAAACACATTGTTAGTTCATATTAATTTACAATATTAATTCATTTTAGTGTAATATATGAACCTGAAATTTTTTTCCATAAAAGTTTAATTGTAATGGATTAATTTATAAATATCTAAAATATAGATCATTTTTAAAGCATTTCTTATATCAATTCTTTGAGGAGGATTATAAAGGACTTTTCATCCCTGATTTGTAGATGAGGAAACCAAGACCCAAGAAGGTAACTTGGATTTCCAAAGGTCAAACCACTTGTAAGTACCAAAGATCAAGCTAGGTGACCTCCCCACCATATAGGTCATCTCCACTTAAAATGATAATTCCAAATACATGAAATTCTAAACAAATATAAATGTCTTCTTAAATGGGCCATAGATTTTAATAATCGAATAAGCACATAAGGCTGACCTGTAATTAGCACATTAGTTATGTGTCTACGTTAATTTTGATATACTTAAGGATCCTTGGAACTATCCAGCTCTTCCAGAGACTTTACCAATCTTATTTATGCTTTTAATTTATACAGTAAAACCTCTCTTTTACAACCTGAAAATTCTGAATTTGTGGAGTAACTGATTCGATTTTGCTTTAGGAATCTGATTACTTACCGAATTCAAGAGGAGTGTAACACTATTTAAGCACGTTCCTGACTGACCACTTGGACATGGACGAAGCTCAACACTAATAGACCAATCTTTATCCTGTTAAAAAATGCATTTCATGTAAATGTTTATTAAAATGTCATTGAATATATGCTATTACTATGTGATTCATTCACAATGCATGTTTGCATTTCAAATATGCAAAAGGTTTACATCTTATCATTCTGCTCTGAAACTAGAAACCTAGTTCAGTTAATGGCACAGTCTAGGATTGGCCAAGAGCTTTACAGATGGTTCAAGTTTCTTGCATCTAAGACTATCTAAGTAGTCTATAACTGGTGGATTTTTATAACACTATTTTTTTTTTCTTTTAGCTTTACTTTTCGTCTTCTCCACAGGAATTGTGCTGCATTATTGAGACTAATAGGACTTAGAGGGAACATAGCTTGTTTATTCTCTGGAAAAATCCATGATGTCAACTTAAATCCAATGAGAGAGGTATTTAATTTGTCAACCCATAATAAAAGTCATGCCAAACATTGACTTCCAGTTTTCATTTCAAGATCTAGGAATCTCTAATCTATAAGAAGCAAATATTCTATATATTTTGACATATTTCCCTCTCACTTTGCCCATCCCCTATTCTCATGGATTATGTGAGGAGTATTACAAAAAAGGAAAGAAGATTTGGAAAACTGACTTTTGATAGCAGCAACTACATTTTTCAGATTACTGGTCATTGACCCACATCTCTCACTTCAGGAGTCACAAATTCTGCTCATCTTTGTTTCTGACCAGGAAGATTCAGTAAAATTTCCTGTTCTCATGCTAGCTAAAGGTACAAGCTACGAAATAGAATCCCCCTTTTATTGAACTTCAGATTACTTAAAATTTTAATATTGAAAAGAGTTTAAATGTAAGGATAACCTCTATCATACTGTTATATTATAAAAACTAAAAATAAATGTAAAAGAATAATGATGAAAGAAGAAGATCCTTTATGGAATGTAAAAGATAGTTTCATTTGAGGCACTAATGAACACATGCAAAGAAAAGTAGAAAAAGGAAAACTTTTCCCGGTGTATTTAGAAAATTATTAGCAATGAAGGAGATTTTGATTGTTTTTGTTTATCAAGAATTTCTAAGGAGCACAGGTAATAATCATTGTAATGTCAATATGTGACCAAAAGCAGATACTGAAATACACAACCAATGATTGAAGGGATGTTTGTTATTTTTAATAGTAAATAAAGATAAAGATTGTGTTTTTAAATCGCTGAGAAATAGTTTGATGTATTAGTTTTCTCAAGTATTGTAGACTGTTACGTACATGGATGGCCAAAAAGTGACAGTTTCCATGATGATTGTATTTAACACCATCAAAGGTGGTAATCAAACTTCCTTCCACCTTACATCTTCCAGGACATAACATTTTAGTGCAAGACCACTTTGCTTCTTGGCATGTGCTGTTAAAATGCAATGGTTATGTTAAAGGTCATCAATTATGTTTTCTCTATGGTGAAAATAAATAACACAACATTAAAAAATCATAACTTAAACTACGACATCTAGTTAAGTTTTCTTACACCATTTTCATTCCCCACCCAACATCTCAGCTTTGATAAAATGTCTCATTGACCATGGTATCCTGGTATTTTAAAAGACTCTAATTCCATTGACCAAAATAATAACTTCTGCCTGCATTAAACATATAAAAACTTGTAAACTGGATTTCAGGAGTTTGTTTAAATGGAACACGTTTCACTATTAGTATTAAAACACCTGTTACATGCCACATTATAGACCTGCACTGTCCAACATAGTATAGAGACATAGCTACTGATTATGTGAAATGCGGCTTGTCAGTCCAGATTGAAATCTGCTGTAAATGTAAAACACACACAGACTTCTAAGACTTAATATGAAAAAAGATTGTAAATCTCTCAACATTTTATACTAATTTCATGTTGAAATGATAATATTTTGGATATGTAAAGTACATGATTATAATTAATTCCACTTGTTTGTTTCTTTTTGCTTTTTAAAATGCATCAACTAAAAGTGTTAAATTATATATGTAGGTCATATTTGTGGCTCTCATTATATTTCTCTTGGACAGCACAACTCTACACATTCAATAAATCATAGCTCTTGTTATTCATAATTATTATTAATATACTATTACCAGACTAACAGAACATTGCCTATTTATTGAGAAAATATTACAGTATTAATAATATATTGGTTTTCATTTAGTCAGTTTATTTCCTCACAAGGACACAGTACATTCTAGAAAGTCCTCTGAAGTCCAGCAGATATGTGGAGTTTCAGAGAAAAGGCATAATGAGGAACAAGGAAATCTGTCTGGTCAGAATATTGTTCCTGAACGCGAAAGGAAGAATCAAGCTATTCAACTAAAAGAGAAATAATCTACACTAACGTTTGGCACATTAAAATCCTATCTGGAGGTTTGGAGAGCACTGGTTTAATGGGATACAATTAGCAAAGTTTATATTTTTGTTATTGCTGTTGCCTCTTCTTCCCTTTCTCCCCTTCACCCCATTCCTTTCCAGCCTTCCCCCAAATTTGCAAAGCAACTTTATTTTCCTTATGTAACGTAGTAATGTGGATAAGCTTTACACCAATACTTCTTGTGGCCAAGGTGACAGAAAGTACCAATAAAATGTCAAAAGTATAGAATCTAAAAAAAAAATCCTATCTGGATTAAATGTATCTTCACCAATGTAGCCTCATATAAAAATTATTTGAAAAGTGTTGGGTTGTTTCTAATTGTATATTTTTAAATATTCTTGGAAATTAGCATATTGTTTCATTATTGTAACCATACTTTTGTATTATGCTTTGCTCTGTTTTGCAACCACCAATCGGTTTACTATTCAAAACACTATTTTAGTTAGTAAAAAAACATTGTCTTTTAAAGATACAAAGAAAGCTCATATATTTTACATAAAACACAAAGCTTTCCTCAAAAATTGAAAGACAGAATATCAACACAGAAAATGCCAGAAGTTTGTTTCTTTTTTCTGAAAAGTTTATTTTACATGTGGATTTAGGGAATTACTTCAAATTACATTAAAATATTAGTATTATGTCACTATCAATAAAATGTAGACCAAAAGCACACACACATACCACTGAGAACCACAAGAATCTTCACGGATTTCTCCTGACTGATACACCTTTCCATTAGATTCACAGGGACAGTCAGCCTTCAACACGCATCTCCCTTTCTCTCCAATATCATCCAATAGATAACCTAGAGTACATTATATAAAGTTAACCTTGAAACTATATAAACATCAGTAAATTCTCAAGCAGTGTGTTGCAAAATCACTTATGAGGTTGTTCTTTCAAGTGTAAACATGCACTTAAAATGATAATTTCTATTTAAGAAATTTGAGAACTGGCAAGAGTATAGACAATTTTCGGAGCCACAGAGCAGTCCTTTTGAGCCTAATACAGAGCTAGCGAATCATCCGTGTAGTACCATGGCCCTCAGGTATAGTAGAGACAGAAATGCACATTAACTTTAAAAGTCTCTCTACCCCTCCCCTGCAGTATGCTAGAAGGATGGATTATAAATAGGTAATAATTTATTCATTAAATATCTTGTTAGAAACAAGATCCCACTATAACTGAGTCACTTCATTTTCAATTGTTTTAGTGTAAATAGTATTACCTTCTGGGCAGGTGCAGCCACTCACACATTCAATGCCTTGAAAAGGAGCCACATTAGAACAAGTTGCAGGATTTGAGGGACCACATTCTTTGTAGATATGTTTTTCTGGGCATCTAGGTTTTTCTGGAGAAATATAGAAATATGTATGCATGGAAAATAAATGTGATAAATACATAATATTCTAATGTGGGTCTTTTCAAATGGGATTCTTTGAGTCTACTTTTCAAGATATGTCAGTTTTTAAAGATATTCAGTACTAAATTATGCCAATTTCCTATGCATTATTTTATGATACAATATTTAATTTGGAGGAAATGTATATTATATAGTATCATTTTACCTTACTTTGAAATTGATATTCTATTTGTATTTTAACTTATAAAGACTGAACTAAGTATAAATGAAAAGTATATTCATATTTGTATGAAACTCATTTAGATTTTCTAATTTTCTGAAAAAATAATTACTCATCAACATACTTTTCATAACTTTTTCAGTTATTTTTTACAGAGTTTTTACAGAATTTCACAGAATTATTCATTTTTCCCAGTGACTTTTACTAATTATAAAGTTCCAAATTAAGATCTTAACACAAAGCACTTGTAGCAAGTAACCCCACAAAATGGACCTCAGTTTCCTCACAGGTACGTGTCAGAGACAAGATTATGGTCTCTGAGGTTTATTCCAGGGCTTAGGCATTTGACAAGATTACTTTGAAACACATCCCAACTTTAAGTGCTATAGAAGCTTCCTGATTTGGAATCTACAATATATTTGAAACCTACCACAAACCACGTTGGGATCGTCTCTCCAGGATACATAGGTGCCGGGACCATCTGATGAACAGAGGCGGGACAATTCTGCATAAGTGTCACAGGTGGATTTTTTGTCTCTACTTTGGCAGTACTCATCAATGCAGATCATTTTGTAGTTGTTGGATAAAGTGCCAACCTTTCCACATTTCTCAAAGTAGGTTCCAATAATTTTGTTACAGTGCTAGGAAATAAAGCATGAAGTTTTAAGAAAACATAGGAAAAATGAAGAATCAAATGAGTATTTTGGGAAAGATAAATTCAGAAATTTATTTTGCATAATACCCTGTAGATTTGACAGGAAAATTCTTGAACACTGGTTGAAATGGGGAGTTTTGAATCATTACATTTGATACAGTGACTCCTAAAAGAAAACTTCACCTCTGATACTTTTGATTGCTATATAAGGACTTCAAAATTTGTTGTACCTAAACTCATCCAAAATTTCTCTAAAAGTGACATGAAGTTTAGAACTTGAGAAAATGAAAGGGGTGAGAAAAGGAAAGGTTGTCAATGTCAGAGATTGGGATGGTGAATGATTGACACCACAATACACAGAGGGATATTGACCCTTTAACTGTCAGTCTGCTTATATTTGATGAGCAAAAAAATAAAATGGACTGATTCTGTGCTTTCTTGGTGGGGGCCATGTGAGTCTGCTCTGGAAACAACATATCTGTTCTCATGTTGTTTAAGGAAGTAAAGACATATTGTCAAGCACAAAAAGTTCAAATTTCAAAATATTTTAATTACCACATAGCTTTTTGCTATCTTAACTATGTTTGTTTTCAGAGAAATATAAAAGCTACTAGCAAGCAAATAACACAGTTTGCACCAATTAAGCCCCAGGACAACTGATAACATTCTCCAAGTGAGGTATAAAATTAAGTGAAATGAAATCTTCAAAGATTGTTTTTTTTTAATGTACTATACTTTGTGTATATTTCTCACTAGATTACAGGTTTCTTTGGAGCAAGAAATAGAACTTTATAATCCCTAGGCTTAACACAATGTCTTGTACATAGTAAGTTCTTACTAAATACACATTGGCTTTAATATAAATTTGTATACTCATTCAACTAACATTTTTGAGCAACCAGGCATAAGTTCTCACACACTGTGCAACTACCACAACAGTAAAACCTAATCTCTGTCAACACAGAGCTCATAATCTCTTAGGAAACATGTGAGAAAAGCATGAGGAATTTTTATAGATCATAAGTACCAATGAGTGACATAGGGTAACAGAGGAAAGAGAAAGCAACTCTGACTGCAAAACTCAAGGAGCATTTCACAAGGAAGATAGCAGATGACCTTAGTTTGCTTTGCTAAAAGATGACAAGGTGGTTATAAATACAATACCCATTGTCAATTAAAACACAAGTCTCTTCTACCTATACTATTCATACATATCTTGGTCTTGAGAATTTTGTTCTAGATTGAAATAAGAATATGTGAAAATTCCTTCAGTCATCAAATGAGTGCAATCTACCAAATTCAACATTAAGAGTTTCTACAAGTGCAGAAAATTCAGAATAAATGATGACTATTTTCAAGTGGTGTAGTCAAAAATATTATCTGTAACTTTTTCAGAAAGAAGGTAAAGTACACTGGAGATGACAATTCAGACTGGCTATCTGGGGCGAAAGTAAGGGAGTGAGAGCAGAAAGTAGTTCTTAGGAATGCACTACAGGGATTTCTAAACTGTAAGAGTCAAGTCAGTCCTTATTAAGAAATAATCACGGAGAGGTGAAGCATATCAGTTTACAGACCAACTAAAACACTGTTCAAAGGAAATTAGAATTGTTACACTCATATATAGCAAATATCATTTTAAAAAAAACACTTATTTTAGTATCTACAGCTAAACTAAAGCAGAGGAACAGACCACAGGGACATTGGAAAGGAAGAAATGGCAAAATTCTAATAAGGTCTGAGTGTTAGAAAAGGATGTTGGCTATCCAAATTGAAACCAAAGGGAATATTGTTGAAATCTGCTATTAAATGAAATATATATTTCTTACATGCACTCCATCTTCACAAACTTGATAGCTTTTGGTAACAGCTTTGGGACAATTACCAGGAATTTTACTATTGTCAATGTGCTCATTAATATCTTCTCCTTGAAAAGAAAGCAATGTTAACTTCAATATATTCATTTTATATATATATATATATATATATACACATTATTTTTAAGATAAATATGGACTTGACAATATAAATATATTTTTTATTTTAACAATTTCTCATTCTATAGACAAATGCAAATTGTTAATTGTTAGATTTATCCAAATATGAAAAATTACTTTATAATTTCCTTTCGGGAGGCAATTTCCTTAGACAAAATGCATTGAAATCTTACCTGGAATGCTGTTGAAGTCACCACAAAGACCACAAGTTGGATACTGCTTGTGAAGAGTGAGCTTTAAAAAAAGATTACGTGTATGTTTATAAAATATTGAAAATATCTCAAGACAAAGTTTAACCAAACCAAAAGACAGGCCCTCTTCATGTTCAATTTTACCTAAGCTGGTTACTTAGGAATGTATTACAGGGCCTTTTCTAAAGGATTTAGATTTAGAATTTCGCAAGATCCTGACTTCACTTTTACTAACTGTGTCTTTGGGTGGATTATTTAACTTTTATTAGCCTGAATTTCCTGAGTTCCATCATCTGTAAAATAAGATTAATAACCATATTTTAAATATTAGATAATCCTTAGTCAGTGCCTGATACATAGAGATTTCTCAATAAATCTTAGCTCTTATTTTCCTTATATTGTATTATTTTATAACTGAAAGTAAAGAACAAAAAGCACAAACTATAAGAAGATCATAGATGGACTTACTGAGAGTTTATTATTTTCATCCCACATTAAAGACAGGATTCCTCTACGGCTATTCAGAACATTATGTTCTCCATATTTCTTAATGTGAATCATCTTATTGTCATATGGTATCTGTACACTGAAAAGTATAAAATACAAGTACATATAAAAGGTGTAAGAACAGTATTATTACATCATGTTTTTTTCTGGTAATTCATGTTTCTATATTTAGTATCATAAATATAATACTGCTAATGAATAGTAAAGTTTTTTTTTTCTGATCATTTCAGAAGAAGAGACACAATGGCTTTCATCTGATTTTGGAAAGACTTGCAAGGAACAATGAATAAATCTTTGAGGCTTTGGAGAAATGAACAAGAAGAAACTGGTCCATTATAAGAATAAAATGATTAAATAATTTGAAATGTTCACAAGCAGAATATCATGCCTCACTTTCTTATCCTGAAAAATATTCAAATATGTCAGCCCTTCCAAATATAAATTGCTACTTCTAAAAACAATGGCCTAAGTTTCAATGTATTGTAAAAGCTCAAATTTTTATTTAGCATTAAACATGCAAATGAAAATTGAAATATTCTATTAACAGTTTTGTTGAATATGCATGTTGCCCCAAATCTAGATACTCAAAATAGTCAAACAACAGAACTACTCTTTTTTTCCCACCTTGTGATAGGAATAAATATAATATCTTATAATCCCACATATAGCAAAGTCTTATACATTTTACAAGAACTTATTATAAATATCAATATGAGCACCAAAATAGGAAAAGAGTACTATCTCTCCCCTAATAAACCTTTTATTTTCTTTTTGCTCAGGTTACTTCAAGTGATTCTATAGTCTTTATTCAAAACACTGTGACATTTACCTTTCTCCATTAACTAAAATGATATTGCCAGCAATAGAGATGACATTACTGTCTACTATAACTGTTATTTTTTCAATCTCACTATCATTGTTTCGTTTGATCTCAATATTGAAATCTCCTCCAGATTCAACACAGTGACGGCAGAAACTATACGTGCATGAAGACTCAAAGGAAAAGACACGGCCGTTGAAAGCTTTATATGCTCCTTTGCCCCAAGTAGAAACTTCACCTACAAAATATTTAGGGTAGAATATTCATTATTATTTAGAACAATTAATGTAGCTTCTAGTTTCGGTTTTTTAAGTGTTTATGTACCAAGAAAAAAAATCACTGAAAAGTACTATTCTCACATCCACCTTAAGTTTGTATTTTTCTTTCTTACTGAAAAATGTGCTAAAAGTAATACCTGAGTACTTGCAAATACCCAAAGTTGGCTAAAACAAAAAAAGTAAAACATCTTGTTTCCCAGTGGAAAAGGGAAATTGTCTCAACTACGGGAAGGGATATATGAAGGGAAGCTGTGGTCTGTTTGCTCGTTTGTTTTGCTTTTTGTAGAGCTAGTTTTTCTGATGTTGTCTGAGTGGGTTATCATTAATATTAAATAAGTATAAAGAATTATATTATTTCTCTCTATACATATATGTGTATGTACATATGTATGTGTGTGTATATACGTTATGTGTATGTGTGGTGGGTGTCTGTGTCTGTGTGTGTGTATAAAACAGATAGATGATGGAAAAATTTTTTAAACCAGTTTCAAATTTTCGATACTTTGAAACCTCATTAGGTACTGGTTGTCTTGGTCATATAAATATGGATATAAATCAGAGTCATTTTTACTTACCAATAGTTGTGTTTGTTTCTGAGTATTTGGGGGTTGCTTCTGGAATATGGGTTCCTTTTCCTATTCAACACAATGCATAGATTACTTAAATTACAAAATTGACTTTAAATATACAGGATATTTGGTCTTCTACATGGGAATTTAAAAGTTGGTATTGAAGGCCATCAGTGGGTTTTTTTTAATCCTAAATATATAATTTGATTTTGTGACAGCTATGATTTGTCAAAGTCATATGTATGATTATCTTTGAAGCCCATATTTTTTCTAGTAGCAATCAGCCACAATATGTTCAGAAATCATTAACAGTTTATTCATTTTGGGTCATGTACAATTAATAACATATGCTGCATTCCTTACAGAACTATATTTTCAACTTCAAAAATAGAATATTTGTAGTCTATTTTTATTGGAAAATGCTACCCAAACAGGCCCAAGATAGATTTTATTAAATCAGCCTACTGTATAATACTAATAACTCAATCATCTATATACAAAAATAATCAATTCTCCTGATCAAAGGGAAAAATTCATAACCTTGAAACTTTGTTTCCCATTATCATTTATTTCCAATGCATGGACCCTTTTATGCAACCAAGTAAACACATGAAGTCTTAGAGCAAGGTTTAAAAGCAAGCCGAATAGAATAGTAACAACAATTTTAAAAAGTGAACATTTTGATAGAATTTTAAAATATTTTTCACAATGCCATTTATGTATATCTTAAGCCACTTCTCTTTGCCCAGGTTGAGTGATAATAGATTAAATTCTTAATTTATTTATAAAATCATTCTTTAAATACTATATCTAAAATATAAAGGGGAAGTTGTATTGTTTTATTTAGGTTCTATTAAGATATAATTTAATCTTTCTTATTCAAAAAATTGTTTCAAATATCCATTTGGTCATCTAAATTTTAGTACTGGAAGAGGAGAAGCACTTAGATGTTCAATGCTACATGAGAAACACATAATAATATCAAGCCCTAGCAAATCAATAATCAACAGAACATCTTACATATACATTATAAACACTGAACATTAAAAATCAAACTACCTGGAGTGCTGAGTAGTCCAGAAGTACTGTAGTCAGATGAGCTTGTGACACCTATTTAATAGAAAATGATTAGGCTGTTTATGTGTATAATTTTATCTGGTAAAATATGAAAAAAATATTTTTAGATTTGATGTATAAACCATAGATCCAAGTTCAGCAATGGAATGCTAGCAGACTTAAAACCACGTGAAGCTATATAAGAAAAAAATATTATCAACTCAACAACCTGCTGGAGTAACAAAATTATAAGCCTCACTATTAAATGAACTGACACCAAATTACTTTATTCCAGATAAATTGCCTTAAAACTTGTTCAGGGAAAGAGAAAAGGGTTGTGTAGACAGGGCTCCAAGTCTGATATTTCAGTTTCAACCAAACTTACTCCCACTTTGAATTGCTTTACACTTGGGAAACCTAGGTACCATTTCAAGATGTCAACTGAATAAAGGATTCTGCATTCACAGAAACTGGAAGTATTAAAACTATTAATCTAGATGAACTGAGATGTTCAATCTCAAGATGTCTGATATCAAGAGACATTAATGTCTCTGTCCCTTAGGAACAGAGACTGAGAGGATATCTGAACTACTGGCATCAGAGCCAAAGTCTTTATGTCTACCCCCAACAGATGTACTGCCACTCATTCTACCCCCTCCAAGTTCATTGATTCCAAATCCCTGTTGACCAAAAGCCCCTAAATTGGATTCCAAATTTCCAGAGCTATCACCAACAAAGGTATTCCCAATTCTCAGACTGGTGTCACCTGAAGAATATAAAATGATCATCACAGAGCCTACTGAAAACATTCTATGATTCAGAAGTTTGTATATACAAAAATGAGATATCAATACCTAAATCATTGGAAATGGATCCTTCAGATCTAATCACTCAATTTCCTTCAACTGTTCTGGTACTAAAGCTGCTGTCACCAAGTGAACTCAAACCAGAAGCTCTAAACCCAAATGCAGCATCACCCCTTCTAGCTCCAAGTTCCCAGCCAAAACACCCTGTTCCAACTGATGAAAAAATCAAGATGTTATTAAAAATTAATCTTTTTTAACTAATTAATTTGTTGTTAAATGTAAAGAGAAGTATTTTAACTAATTAATTTAATTAATTTAAATTTTTTCTAGAATGAGTCTTAGTTGGAATACCTAAGCTACAGGCATCTAAAACCTATGGATTCACCCCCAACAGATCCTCTACTGCTAATTTCACTCCAATCAATTCTACTGACTTCCAATCCCTTTTGACCAGATGTCCCCAAACCAAATGCTAAATTTCCAGAGGCACTGCTACTAAATCCAGCCCCTCTGCCTATGTTGGTGCCTATGTTCAGCTGTCTGCTGAAATTAAAAAAGATTGTCACCAGGGAATATTTAGGTACAACTTATGAGTCAATACTTTTTATGCACAAAACCTAAAGAGTAGTACTTAGATCACTGGAACTTGATTTTCCAAAGCTCCCTGTTTTATTTTTACCATAGCTTTTTATTTTCAAGATCACTGACACCAACTCTGCGTGAGCCAGAATTACCAAGGCCGAATCCAAATTAACCTGCCTTTTTACCATCAAGTCCAAAATCAAAAGACAAATGGAAACTTAAACTGTAATCAGGAGCAATAAACAAAGGATGTAAATCATTTGTGTTTTTTCTTAATAGAGTCTAGATCAGAATTCCTGAGCCTCTGAAGTGAGAGCCAAAGCCAAAGCCCAGCGAGAACAAACTCCTTGCTCTTCTTCCTGTTTCCACCAATTTCCACGTCTTTTAAGATAAGTTGCTCTGACACCAGAAATACCTATATTTACTGTACTTTATTGACCCTCACTTCTGTCACTGACTTTAATTTCCAAATATAAAAAGTTATTTATCCACACCATTTTGTTTATTGAAAATATAATATAAAACAATATTGAAAACCATTTTGAAATAAAAATCACTATAACAAATTTTAACACTTTTGTTTTGCTTATCACCTCCTAATTCTTGACCGTAGATATACACATTTGACAGTTTCAAACATTCTTGCATTCCTTTTCAAGACAACTAGTTCAAATATGAGTAATAGAACTTAAAAAGTCAAATTCATACAGAAACATGAGACCAAAAAGTTTCTGTTTCTTATGACAAAACTTGGGAACAAGAGAGTTTAGGTGGCTTTACCAAAGTCCACAGAAGGTTAGTAGAAAAGACTGGATAGAAACCAGATCTCTTCATTCCAGGTCCAAGTCCCTTCATAAAAGCATTCAATCTATTGTCCCTTCTAAAAGCATTCAATCTACTTGCCTCTTCACTAAAATGTTTAAATTGATTTCTGTTGAAGATAACACAGATCCTTTAAGAATCAAACATAGTTTAAAAATCTTTCCCATGAGTCCCTCCAACACTAAATCTGTATTGGTCAAAAAATAACCATCAGTTCCTCCTTTGCTAATTGACTGATTTTTCTGTCAAAAGCAGAAACTAAGAAACAACTTAGAATACTTGTTTCACTGGCAGCGGAATTACAACTGGCTAATCCATTTACTGAATTCACACCAAATCCATTTGGCCAGACGGACCCCAACCAATTTTATTTTTATTTGAAGCAGTGCTGCAAATTCTGTACCATCAGAGACACTGTTGGCAAGACCACTTGCTAAATTGGTTTTCTCTACCATACAAAAAATAATTATTATCAGAGAACAGTTGCATTCATTCATATTATACAAGAAATTAATCTATACACATTGCTTGAACTAGGCCTTCATTATAGTTTTGAATGTATCATTCCCTCCCTTCCACATATCTTTCCATATATGATTCCACACAGTGTAACTAGGGGTGTGCATGGCAACCAATTTACCATGAAGTTTGAGAGAATTCCATAAGAAAAGTGAAGCACTAGGTTCATTTAAGATAAAGTTTCAATATATCCTATAGAATATGAGCAAACCATTCACACCTCAGTGTTGTAAACAAGAGCAAATATCTGTGTTAACTTATTAGTCATACTGAGCTTGTCAATCCCAAAACAGATGACTGAACAGATAGGAAACCTTTGTGTCTTTCCTGAAGAGATTTCAACCGTATCCCTACACCTAAAACTGCTTCTCTCTTTTCAGTTATCACCACCTGGACTCAAATATTAAATTTTAATATAAAATATTGAAGTTATCTTCTTCACTGTATCTCCTTCTTTCCGACTTTTGCAGAGGTACAAAATACAGAAACTTCAGGGACCAGGCAAGTAAAGGAAAAGTTTGAATCAGCCAATAGGTAGAAGCATATTGAATCAGAGAGGACATGCCTCACCAAATGAAAATTAAAATTATTTTCCAAACAAAACAAAATTAAAGGCCACAAACAAACTGTCTAAAAACCGTACTTTATAATATTGCTTGGCAAACTGAGTATGCAATTTCAAGAGAGAATCTTGGTATAGAAAATGGATTGTGGTTGCCGACAGAAACATGAGAGATTCTGCACTAAAACTGGGTCCAGGAAGCATTTTAAATTATTAGTTTATAATCATAAAAATGATTGATCTTCACAATAATAGTAAGAAAGATAGCATAAGAAAATAAAAATTATCAGGAAGAATTTAATTTAATGTAAACTGCTTTGCCAAAATTCTCTTAAAACAGAATTCATCACTCTCATTGGCACTGGAATTAGTGCCTTTAGCTTTTCACTGTTACTATTAAGGCCATGTGCTGCTAATAAAACAAAGATGATTAGATTATCCCAAATGAAAAAAGCACTTCTAGGTCAGTATTTTTCTCCAACAGTACCTGCTGTGGTGTCTTTTAACTCTAAACTGTTGACATCCTGAGGTTCTCTCGACCTGTCTTCAGCTTCTCCTTGAGCACTAAATCCACTGTTAAGGAGTGAACCAACAAGAGATTTCTTTCTCCTGTTTGAGCCACAGAAGGATAAGCTACTGAGCAAAAAAGGACCTAATGCGAATAACAGAAGATTGTATTTGAAAACAGTATTGCTAGCACTATAAAGGGTTATTGGATTGTGACACTATAAAAAGCCATATTTTATTTTGTGTAAGTGCCTTTACTCTGGTGGCACTTGGAACAACATACACCCCTTATTGACTTAATCACTATGCCCATATCTTTTTGTCATAGTTCTAAGACTTCAAGAAAGAGATGAATAGAGTTGTGAAGATTTAATTGATGTGTAGTAGAAATTCTTCCTTTCATGGACAGGGCAGAAACCTCCCCATCTGCTTCATTGTCTACCGCTAAGCTCCAAGTTCCATTGTTCAACTTCCTGTCATCAAAATATTCTACCATGTTGGATCCACACTGTCCTTGGCTTAGTAACAGCTGATAAATTTAAAATAACATACCTGATTCTCTTTTCCATATTTCTACAAAGAAAAAACGATGAAAACATTTACTCATAAATTAACATTTACTCACCTCCAAGTCTTAGCTTAAATGTCATCTCAGTGAGACATACTCTGACAGTGTAAATTTGCAACCCCCATTTTAATCCTCCCAATTATCATTATATTACTCTAATTTATTCCATAGAAATTGTCACCCTGTAGTATATCATGTTTACTACTTATAATGTTTATTGTTTATGAACTGTCTCCTCCTTCCAGATTTTAATCTCTATAAACTCAAGATTTTTGCCTGTTTTATTCACTGGGGTATTCCAGATGTCTTGAAATGTGCCTGAACCATAAAGAACACTCAATTAATATTTATTTAATAAATGCATTCATCAACAAAGACCTTTTATTAAGGTAATATACGCTGAATTACATGAGTTATTTTGTCTTTCTGTCATACCATTTATGTTTTTTTAATCTCTATGATAAAATTAAAGTACTTTAGAATTAGGCCTTAATAACTATGATATTCTTGTAAATTTGTGGAAGACATGCATTTTGGTCACTAAGTAGACAATAAAATAAAATGTGTGATTTGTAAGCAAAACTTGAAGACTATGTAAGAGCAAATACAAATAAAAATAAGAGACAATTCTCTCTGTTGACAATAAGGGAAGAGAGACTCTCCTCGTTTTTAGATCATTTACTTTAGAAAATTGTGAGTTCTTTGTCTACACCTTTAAAATGTTTGTAAATCTTTTTAAAGGTTATATAAGTAACCCAAGAATGTTTCTTCGAGGGATTGGTGACCATCTTTTTGAAATGCTGTCATCAAGGGAGAAAGCTCCCCTATGTCCTAGGTGATATGAACATAACTTCAGCTGGTGTCTGGCTCCAAGCACAAACCTACCTCTTTTATGATTTTAAAGATACAAGAAAGTACTTTTTTTCTTATAAAGGCAATTAGCAAACACAGGTGGCTACCCCAACTACCAAGCAAATTTAGGACAAACCATGTGTGACAATTGGTGATGTCAAGTGCTCTTACTTGAGGACTAGTTATTGTTCATCTTGAGGACAGGTATGTAGTGAGTTGTATCTGCCTGGCTGTATAAAAGGGTGAGATTTCTTTCTGTCCTGGCAGTCTCTCCATCAGATTGCCTGTGACGTGTATCACATTCCGGTTTAATGCTTATTCAGTAATAAAACTGTTTTCCTTCTCTTCTACTTTTGTGGAGAGGTTTTCTGGGGTGACAGGAGATTTTGTTTTAAATTATCTTTCCTCAACAACTCTTGCACTTCTTAGCCATTTTCCATGTTTACAGCAAAATTATTTTTCTACAGCAAACAATATACAGGAATAAAATATTAATGATTTTGAGAATAGTAATGAGCTAGTCTACTATGTAGTTGGATGAAGAGGCCCCCAACATTTAAAACATCATGAAATTATAATATTTACTTATTAGTGTTTGGTTTAGGAGGAATTCAAGTGCTGCTTAAATTACAGCCAATTTGTATTATTATGTTATTAAGTAATCCTCAAACCACTATTACATTTACAACTCTTCTCCATATAGAGCTTTTTTCTTTTTCTGAGCTTTCCCTCTACCTGCCTTACTTCACTACACACTCTTCTCCTTTCCTCTTTTATCCTCTCTCTCTCACTGTCTTTCTTCACTGCCATGTACTTTTATAACTGCATCTTGAAATCTAAATATCTCAGTTTGATGGAAAAGCAGAAAGAAATAAGGCCATATTCAGTAGTGGGAAATATATGAGCTTTTGAGTCAAACTCATCTGGACTTCCAAACTTGCAATCAGAATGGAATTTGATAGGACCTCCCTTAAACTCAGACAAGAGGGGTTCCTACTTTAAGCCACACAAGTTTCACTCTGACCTTCCTTGAGTCATGGTCCTCCTTAGAGGGCAAAGAATACAGACATAGGGTCAGGTGGATATGCTAACCCAGAGCTAGGACCATCTTCCCTCCTCCACTGTAGATCATACTAAGGCCCTAGGGCCCTGTAGTCTCAAGCATGTTACCGTCTTTCTCAAGACGGTCTTTCCAAGGTTAGGCCACATCACAGGAATGAGAACCCCTAGGCCTGGGGGGATGGCCAGGAGGTGGCTGTTTATAGGAAAAGTAGATGGAACTGAGACATGCAGGCTAGGGTATCCCTCTATGTGTGTGACAAAGCAAGGAATGGAAAGGGCAATGGGACAGGAACATTGGCAAGGGTACTGCCCATCCCATTCTTGGGTTGAATTCCAGTGATCTGAAAATTCTGCATCGGTATCAGGCCTTCCAGGTTGTCACAAATATATTTTTGTCAAGGTGGAAGAAAAAACACATTTTAATTAGATGTTTTTCTTTTTATTTATGCATATGCTATGTAGACATTCATTTTTATTCTTGCCCCTGGCTGTGCCCTTGACCTGTCCTTGGATAAATTATTTAATACTTCTGAAACAAAGTTTCCTTATCTATTAAACTGAGAGTACATAATAAATGAGGATAAAACAATATCTACTTCATAATATATTTATTAATTAAGTAAAAGAATTAAATGAGATGAAAGCACCTCTCACAGTGTCTGGCACATAGTCAACAGTCAAAAGCCACATATCTTTTAATATATTTCATTTTCTTCACCAAACTTGTCACATCAAACTCATGCAGATTCATTTTATTTCACTTATTTAATCATGATAAGTATTCACTATATCCATCATACCTCTCCTGAGTTTAACCTCACAGATATATTAGATCCTTCATTTTGTTAGACCAACATTTCTTCTGAATTTATTTCCTCATTCTGTTGTTGAAATGAATAGCCTGGTATCTTAGCCAGTGTGCCATATTCGTTTCTACTAACTATTTTATCCTTCTCATATTTTACTATATAAAACTTATTCAATATATAAATATTGCCATTGGGGTTACCAGTAGTAATGGTCAGTTGTATGTACCACATCTTAGATGTGTAAAAGTATCTTACTTGCCTTATCTCTTTTAACTCTCTTACTCTTACTCTTTAACTCTTGCCTTATCCCTTTAACGGTTCTCCTATTAGGTAGGTACTATTATTAATCCTCACTTGTAAATGAGAAAACTGATACTTTAAAAAGGTTGAATAACTTGCCTAAGATCAGGTGGTAAAATCTGCTAAGAAACCCTTTTCTCTTAAGCAAGAGGTACACTGCTTTCACCTTGCTTAAAGACAGATTGCTTATACAATTCTTAGAGATAAATAAAATATGTTCATATACTTCATAGCTCAAAGGTAGGTAAAATACATTTACTTATTTCAGAGTAAAGTCATACTATATTTTGCATACATTTTGCATAAATTTTTGGAAGAGTTTTCTTATACTTTGGATCTTAGAATGGAATAGAATAAAGAAATAGACATAATTCTGCTCCTCCACCCCCACCCTATGGAAAAAAATTGCCAGATCAGAGAGGAGAATATGAGTGAGCTGTGTGGAAGGGGGGATTTTAAAATTAATGGTGCTAGGGCTTCCCTGGTGGCGCAGTGATTGAGAGTCCGCCTGCCGATACAGGGGACACGGGTTCGCGCCCCGGTCCGGGAAGATCCCACATGCCGCGGAGCGGATGGGCCTGTGAGCCATGGCCGCTGAGCCTGTGCGTCCGGAGCCTGTGCTCCGCAGCGGGAGAGGCCACAACAGTGAGAGGCCAGCGTACCGCAAAAAAAAAAAAAAAAAGGAATGGTGATAAACGAGTTATGTTGTCTAAAATTAATGAATATCAAAAGTATAAAGTACTACAGCGGCCTATGGATCCTTTTCTCAGATACGTGAGACTTTGTCCCTTTTAGGAATGAAGGTTGTGGGATTAACATAGCTCTGGAGCTTGTCCAGTTTTTTGTTTTTTGTTTTTTGTTTTTTTTTTTGCGGTACGCGGGCCTCTCACTGCTGTGGCCTCTCCCGTTGCGGAGCACAGGCTCCGAACGCACAGGCTCAGCAGCCATGGCTCACGGGCCCAGCCGCTCCGCGGCATGTGGGACCCTCCCGGACCGGGGCATGAACTCGTGTCCCCTGCATCAGCAGGCGGACTCTCAACCACTGCGCCACCAGGGAAGCCCGAGTTTGTCCAATTTTACGCTGGCTGGTTGTGTGGTTGGTTGGGGCTTTCTTGCTTGGCATTTTTATTCATCCAATGCGGCTCTAGTTTTAGAGACCCTCAGGTCCCTCCTCAATGAGACCTGGAAGGTTCCCTGAGCGACAAAGGAATAAATCCAATTGCTCATAATTTCAGAGGATTTTCAGAGAGCTATGGAATTCCAAGTGTTCCCTTGCCTCATTCTAACTCCCTGAATGAGGAAGTAGAGAAGCTCTTGCTATGCCATTGTGACAGAACCTAATGAGTCCTGTTTGTAGTTATGATGAGGTGACTTCTTCATGAGACAGTGGACCTGCTGCTTATTTTCAGTTTGTGTTTTACCTCAAAGGAAATATGTGCCAATTACATTTTATTGTATTAAGGTTGTAGAAAGAGAGATCGAAAAAATATATAAAAGTAATCTTGGGCTATTTGATTGCTGTGTACATTACACCAGAATCAAATTGAATCTATATTGATATTGACAAAAATCCTATCATTAGGTTTACGAAAAATTCCATAAAAGTAGCGTTCATTTTCTGTGGCTTATTTTTCATTTGGTGGAGGAGGAAAACAAATAATGGGTAATAGCAGCCTAGTTTCCAACTGTACCAAAATGATGAGTAATAAACATAGCTATTCAGTTGCTCAAAGAAATCTGTAGTAAAACTATTGGAACTAAGATCGATTTTAATTAAAATAAATCAGTAAGGAATTAATCGCAGAATACAAAATAAAAGCATGTTCTGTCAATAAAAATATAGGAAACTAAAACTTTAAATCTACATTCACATTTTTCTCATAGGTTTAAGAAATTTTTAAAAAGCACATAACCAGAGTAGTTTCCTATTTCAAAGGTCACCACCTTCATAAATACTGATTAAATATTAAATGGCTGGCCCAGATTATGTTAAAACACACTATGGTATGTTCCTTTGTATTAATAAGGAATATTTCATTTTAGGTGTTTTAATGATTTT